TAGAAAAAATAATAACTAAAAAAAAAAAATTTTTTTTGCTGCACAATTCAGCACAAGTTTTATTTTTTCAAAAAAAAAATAGTTTCACAGAAAAAACGCAGGGTAAATTTTGTTGCTGGTAATTTTACCAACATAGACGGTGGCGCCCTCAACTAGGATAAAATTTGTTGCAGGTAATTTTTATACCGATTTTTGGGGTAAAAATTCTACTTTTTTTTCCGTGTGTTGCGGTGCTAATGGACATACATTTTTCTGTAATTAAAGAAATGAATGCTTTTTATTTATAATTTGTTATGTTTTTTTTCAGGTGTTTGCAATTAATAATTTGTATATAGTTTATCGTATATAAATTTGCATGGTATAAGTTTACTTTTATTTTTTCTTTCTTTTTGATGGCTCCTTGCAACATTAAGAAGTGAACAAGACGTCGGATAATAAACACCCAAGTTTTAGGACAGACACTTGCAGAATTTTAGAGACGCGTGTGTTTCGCGGGTAAAAGGTGCCGGGTAACATGCATGTTTTACTCGGCATTTGCATCGAAGTCGAGTTTTTATTTTCGACTTGGTCCGTGACAGACCTGTTCTGTCGCGAAACACACACCACTTTATATATATATATATATGTACTGCTGCGGGTGTTGTGTCACGGTTCGCGAGGGTGTAAAAAACGAAGGAGGGTGGGGGGTAATCGAGAGTGTAACACACGTGTCGGTTGAATTCCGTCGGGCGCCATAAATTTTTTCCGATACACATATTGACACGTACTCGTGTGTCTATGATAGGAACTGAAAAATTTAAAATGTCCCGTTTCTAGCTCTTTGAGGCAATAAAAAAACATGCCTCAGATCAAAATCACAAATTACACAGCCCCACAAAAAAAAAAAGTGTAATGTACTTTTGACCGGAATACCCTAACCCTATGTATATTGACGCGCTGAACACGAATCCGAAGTCCGTTTTGCTCCATCACGTCAGGATTTTTTTCTAACCTCAAAAAACATGTCGGATTTTGAGAAGTAGGCGATTTTTTTAAAAATTGATGTATTAACTTCAAACTTGGTATCGGGGGGTTTTTTGTGTCGCTGATTACGAATCTGAAGTTAGATTTTCAAAATCCAAAATGGCGGACGAATTTTGAAAAAATTTTAAAATTTACTTCAAACTTGGTATCTAGGGGTTTTTTGGGTCGCTGATTACGAATCTGATGTCAGATTTCCGAAATTCGATATGACATATCCAACATGAACTTCTATCAGCCATATTATAGATACGCCATTATCAATTTTTGAAAACTGACATCAGATTTGTAATAAGCGAACCAAAAAACCCCAAGATACACTATTGCACATTAATTTTTAAAAAATTTCGTAAAATAATGTCCCCCTACCAAAAAAAAAAATTCAAGGGGTAGTTCCCCCCATAAATCAGCTTTTGGGGAAAAACAAAACATACGTGTCATATTGTTTTCAAAAAACTACAAAACTGCCAAGTTTCAGAAAAATCGGCGTATGGCACTTCCCTATAGTGTTACTTGTCAGCAACTTAGAAAACCTGTAGATACCAAATTTCATAATAATCTGACAGTTTTTTAAAAATAATTCCTTAATATTTAATCAGACATATCGAATTTCGGAAATCTGACATCAGATTCGTAATCAGCGACCCAAAAAACCCCTAGATACCAAGTTTGAAGTAAATCTTAAAATTTTTTCAAACTTCGTCCGCCATATTGGATCTGCCATTTTGGATTTTGAAAATCTAACTTCAGATTCGTAATCAGCGATACAAAAAACCCCCAGATACCAAGTTTGAAGCTAATACATCAATTTTTAAAAAAATCGCCTACTTCTTAAAATCCGACATGTTTTTTGAGGTTTGAAAAAAATCCTGACGTGATGGAGCAAAACGGACTTCGGATTCGTGTTCAGCGCGTCAAAATACATAGGGTTAGGGTATTCCGGTCAAAAGTACATTACACTTTTTTTTTTTGTGGGGCTGTGTTATCTACTTATGTCTTATACAGAGCGGGATATATAATATTTTAGTTAAATTGTAATTTTTTTTGAAATTGAGCGTTAAGGAGAATAATGAAGAAGAAGATCATTTAACAACACGGCGGCAACTGTGTGCCATAGACAGATTTCAAGATGGCGTCAGTGGTGACAACAACGACGACGACGACGGTAGAAGGTTTGTTAGCGTTGGACATAACTTTCATTAATTGGAGAGGGCTCCTCCGCAGAAGAGAAGAGGGATGAGGAGGAGAAGGAGGGGAAGATGGTGGCGGCGCGCGGGTCTCCTTAATTAATCTTACGCTCTAATGAGTGTCAATTGGCAGGAGCTGCCAATTAACGCACCACTGTGCTATATAGCGTACATATATATATATATATATATATATATATATATCCTGCTCTCTTCGAATGCAAAGGCAAGATAGAAATTGTTTTCGAAAAAGGAAATTTTTGCTAAACAAAAGAGGAGAATTATACTCAACGGGAAATCGGATGTCTTTTCTCCCTATACCCTTTCTTCTGCCTGTCAAATAAATATCCTTTTAATTAGTTCGCAAAAACGAAACCCTAATCCAATATCAGCTTTAGAGAGAAAATACAAAATTTACAATATTATGTTTAGAAATTTTTTTTTAAATTAGAATTGAAATTATTTACCAAGTGTATAATTTATGTGCTTGGAGAGCCAAAAATAGTTTTTGGGGAATTTGTGTTTATGGTGCAATTAAACGACGAGAATCAAGGCAAGCTTTGTGTGTTTAGAATAAAGCGCCAACGCCCGCACGACATTTACACCGCTTACCGATTTATACGCCTGACAATTAGCAACGACCAAGTTAGTGAGGAGAATTAACGAATATTCTCATATATATATATATTTTGTATTTTGGGCAAACACTAAGAATAAACCAACATTGGAATTTGAGAAGCAAAATTCTTACCTTGAAAATAATTTTAAAAAAACATCTGTATATATAATATATCAACGTTACTTCACATTTGTATAACATTTTAATAATTTTTAAAAAATACTCAAATTAAGGTTATCATATATATATATATATATATATATATATGAAATTGTAGATTTTGACGTATTATTATTAAACGTAATAAAGTTGATATATTAAATATTCCAGACTGTTTTTGAGGGCTTTTGAAATTGTCAGATATAAATCGACATTTAATGAAGCGAGAGATTTATTCGTCATTTATAATCTGTCCATTGTATATATGAGAATATTTGGCGCGCTGATATATTCACTTAATATCTTGACTTGCGCTTCAATTCTCAGTCTGTCAAAATGAATTTCGCTTGACCGGAAATTTATTAATTTAAATTTTCATTTGATTCAAATTTATCTGGTCGACGCTATTATTATTATTATTATAAACATTTAAATAAAAACTATTTTCTAATTTTTAACTTTTTAATCCTCTCTTTTATAATGATTTCGTTTTATTAAAAAAAATAAATTATATTTAACATGTGTAGTATTTTTTTTTAATTTAAAAAATTAAATACTTCTCATTGTTAACTAAGTAATTTACTTTTTTGCTTAATTAATTCGAGGTGGTTAATAATTTAATTAGTAAATGTTAATTAAAAACAGAAAAAAAATGTAAATATATAGAATAAAAATTTTTTCTTATAATTATAAATTTTCTTTTTAATAAGATAATAAATTAGTAGGGGCTTTTCCATTTGTTGGTTATTATACCGAAAAATATGAGGGAATAAAATTGACTTTTCCGATTATATTAAACGATTCGCACTCTCTCGATGTTGTTAATTCGCGTGACAGACACGTCAAGCTAATCGACGTGAAAGAGAGGCGGTTTTTTTTTTTAAAAAAAGACAAGAAGCCAGAAATGACCTCCCCTCCCTCCACGTCCCCTTCAACAAAAGCTCGAAATATTAATAAAATACTCATTCTCATTTTATTTAGTAGTTTAAAATTTTTCGGACACAAGGATAAAGTCCTGGAATTCAGCCAACCAAAAGCTCGACTCGAATCCTCGAGTGATTCAATAAACGTCACTCTTAACGGCAGCTTGACTGGCAGCTCGTGTGGCTTTTAAGAATAAAATCACTCTGCTTTCCATTTAGGGTTCCAACTAATCGAATTGAAACATCTTTTCGATTTTTGACGATTTTGTCAATAATTTTCTTGCGGATAATAATTAATTACTCGAGACGAACTTTGATTTTTCAAAATTTTAAATATTTACACAGAAAATTAAAAGGCATTAAAATAAGCTGCAACGCTTCTTATTTTAATCCAATTTTGCTTATTTTAATACCAAAATGAATTAAAATAAGCAAAATTGTATTAAAATAAGAAGCGTTACAGCTTATTTTAATACCTTATAATTTTCTGTGTATACTTTTATATTTGGTTCATTTAATTTCTTAACTGAATTAATACAAAAAAATATAGGTGATATATATATAGAATATTCACCTAAATTCGGATAAATATATATATATATATATACTTGGTTACAACAAGAGGTTGGGTAAGTGTTTAAAAAGAAAAACAAGCATGAAGAAGCAAAAAAAGAAAAGAACAATAAAGTTTCAGCAAACTCACGTTTGCTAATTATCAAGCTTGGTAAAATAACGTCAACTTTGAAAAATAGCTTTTGGTGATTGTAAACTGATAATATGTGCAATTTGATTACAGACTATATGTTTTAATTATAAACAATGCAGAAAAGCATATTCTTAAATAGGCAAGTAATTGAATTTAATAAAAAAACTTTAAAAAAAATCTCTCGCAATACAATTATTTCATTTGCAATGTAATATTAGTTATAAAAAAAGTGGAGAGTGAATGAAATGAAATAAATAAGAACCAAAAAAAAGGGGAAATCAAGCAATTGAAAGGAGCAGCGAAGCAAGACAGGTTGCTGACTGTTTTCTTTTGTAAGAAAAAAAAAAAGAAAAATGAAGAAAGAAGGAAGTACCTTGACCACTTACGCCACCTGGCCATTAGCGCTCATGACTTTTGCCTGCTTTTGCTGATCTTGTGGTTTCCTTTTATCTTGAATGATCCTCGACATCTTCGTTTCAGGACGGAAGTGATTCTTCCCTCTCGTTAAACTTCTTTACCTATAAAAGAAAGATCGAGGAATCAATTTTTTGAAATTAAATTATTTTCTTTCATAAATTCTTCATTCATAATCGTGTGGGAATATTTTTTTCACAATGGGGCCTAATTATGTTTTTGCATGTAAATTACTTATTAATTATATATAATTAATACTTTTAATATTTCTATATTTATATTAAATAAAATACCAGAAATATTTAAAAGTTGTTACTCAGGCGTCTTTTAGATGGTGACTAATTATGGTAAATTTTCAAGAGCAAATTAAACATTGAGTAAATTTTGAAATGTAGGTGAAATTTTTGTTTTCTTCTTTTTTTATTCCAGCCAATAAAATGAAACTTATTCTGTGGTAAAAAAAAATGAAATAAATAACTGGTTTGTAGGCAGAAAAAGGAAGTCTTCCTAATTTATGGAGATTTTTCGAGCGTGTATTTCAGTAAGGTTATTTTTTTTTGGAACGAGGAGGAGGAAATAATAAGGGAGAGGGGGGGGGGGGGTAGAAAATCTTGCGAGTCGAGGAACCGGAAAGAAATTAACTACCTCTGGTAGTTGTTTTACCATGATTCTCCTCCTCCACCTCCTTTTGTTTACCTTTTTTTTTCTCTATATATATTTGACCCTCTCTTTTCTCAACATTTGAAGAATGGTATAACTCTCTGTCTCCAAGACACAAGAGGTTTCTCTCTCTCCCTCGCTCTTTTGACTGAAGAAAGCAAATTGAATTGTAAATATATGGCGTTTAAAAACGTTGAGTTACAAGCAGATTTCTTAATGAGTGGCGAATACTCTCGAATACATTAACTTGCTTGAAATGGCACTGGGCCGTGTCGTACAAAAAGAAATTAAACGCTCCTGCTAAAGTATAATTGGGTCGGGATATAACCTTTCTCTCATATCTCCTTCTTTAAAGAAAAATGTTATTTTTAAATCTATACCTATTTTTTCTATCAGATTTAAAAAGGAGAGTGTTGCAAATACCACGAAAAAAGTTTATTGAAATTTTTAGATATTTGTTTCTTTCAAATATTATGTGAAAAATATTCTTTTAGCTTTTTGTTATAAAAAAAATACATATATAAATATAATAACACTAAAAAATTTTTAAAAAAATTGTTGCCAACAACATCAGGCAACATTCCATCTCATGGATTTAATGAGATTTTATTCGCAGGATAATTAGTGCGTCTCACGAGTTTCTCTCTCCTCTTTTCATCCCCATCCTCTGTTCTTTATGTAATTACTACTACAATTATCATGCTCCCCCTTCCCCATTTTCCTAGCTCCTCATCCTTTCATTACAAACTTCCATCTCATTCTGCCCATACGTCTCCTTTGTACTTTCTCTCTCTCTCTCTCACTCTCTCGTCAAAACTGCATCCTATAAATTGAGATACAAATTAATTTAATACTATATATATATTCCAAGAGACTATTCTGCAAATGCTGACTGTAAATAAATTTTTTCTATTATAAAAATTCTACAAATCTCATACGTCACACTTTGAAAATCATTTTCGAAAATTTTTCAAAAAATTCAAAATTTATATTGACCTAGCTCAAAATCTAATGGTCCAATCAAAAATTACACAGGCCTACAAAATTTTCGATTTTGTCAGACCCAGAATCCAGACTATAGTCATTTTTCACGCTGAATCCAAAAATGACAGCGAAATTGCGGTCTATCACGTCAGGATTTTGAGATATTCTAACCTGAAAGCGTGAAAAAGACCGTTTTTGGCAACATTCAACCATCTATAAAATCTTCAAAAATTTTTTTTAAACATAGGTCCAAATTTTTAAAGAAAGTATACTACTATTCACCTTTCAAAATTTTCTTGGCCCGTTCCGATTCGATTTCTTTTCACTGAGATACAGCCATTTGAGTTTTAAGTTACACGACCTAAAAACTTTTTAAAAAAAAAGGAAAAATAAAATTGCAAAGAACTTCAACTAAAACTCGTTACTAAGAGGGTTTTTGGGGTCGCTGATTGCAATTTTAATGTCAGATTTTCGAAATTAAAAATTTCGGATTCAATATGGCGGATATTTTTTTAAATTCAACTGATTCGCTTGAAAATCGCGTAACTTGGGAGTATTTTACATCTTTGATGACGGTTCTGATAGCAGCCGTATTGAATCCGCCATTTTTTCGAAAATCTGGCATCGTTATCGTAATCAGCTACCTCGAAATTCCCCGATTAACAAGTTTCAATTTTTAAGTACTTAGTTTTCCTTTTTTTAGGGTTTTCAGGTCGTGTAACGCAAAATTTAAATGGTTGTATCTGAGTGAAAAAAAAATCGGATTTGAACGGGCCAAGAAAATTTTAAAAGACAAATAGTAGTACTTTCTTTAGAAATTTGAACCAACGCTTAAAAAAATTTTTTGGAGATTTTATATAGATGATTGAATGTTGCCAAAAACGGCCTTTTTCACGCTTTTAGGTTAGAATATCTCGAAATCCGGACGTGATAGAGCAGTTTCGCTGTCATTTTTGGATTCAGGGTGAAAAATTACATGGGAAAATATGACTATTCCGATTTCTGGGTCTAAAATTTGTAGGTCTGATGTGTTATTCATACACGGAGAAAAATGGAAAAACGAATAAAGTAACTTTTACTACTTTAAAAGTAAAATTGGACCTGTCCGAAGTTTCTGCGCATCTCTTGCAACTTTTACTCGAAAAATAGTACAATTGACTATTTCTGTAGTAAATTTTACTGTTTCTGTAGTAATTTTTACTATTTCTGAAGTAAATTTTACTATTTTTGGAGTAAAAGTTGCCGGAGATGCGCAGAAACTTCGGACAGGTCCAATTTTACTTTTAAAGTATAGTAAAAGTTACTTTTTCTTTTTTTCCGTGTATCATAATAAGTAATGAACAAAACTTTTAATTTTCTTTTTTCCCGAAAATGTAAAGATTTTGGTTTTACTTTTTGTGCAAAAAAAAAAGAAGACGTTTTTCTCTGTACTCACATGTGCGTATGTGTACATACATGCACACACATATATATATATTTTGTATTGAGCCTGTGTGTTTTGAGAGGAGGTGGGGGTTGCTTTCGAGAGGACGGTGAGTTTGTTGGCAAGGAGGGATGAGCGGAGAGGGGAAGGTGATCGAGACTTGGGGGTGTGAGTGAGAGTGTGCATGGAAGGTGGGAGAGCGCGGTCCCCGTAATCCGCTGATGGACGCATTTACTGATTACCCCCTGCCTCAAACCGCCCTTCCACTCACTATACGTCGCCCTCCAAACCCCCCCCCCCACGTTTCCCCTCTTTAGAGAGCTTTCGCTTGTATTTCTTACTACAGGGTGTCCTAAATGGAACGATTCTGTACACTCGGGTAAGAGCACCCAGGTACAAATTATGGTATTCATTTTAGAATGATTAAATTCCCTTAGCACGAGAGAGCGAGTGGGACGCTTCTCTTTCTATCTTTTGAACTTTTCGCAACCAAGTAATCAAATATTGATTCTAAAGTTTAATTAATTTCACTTTGCTAATTATTTTTTTTTTTTTAAGATTTCATCGCTTTTTTCGTTATTTTTTATTTAATTAAATAAGTTGGCAGTGACTATCAAGTGTAATTTAATTAATTAAATTCAGTCATCAAATAATGAGACGAGTGAAAGTTAATTGAAATTGATTGTTGAATTCAGTTAATGAAAATAAATTGCATTAAGCAACATGTAGGTACATTTTTAGGGTCTATTATTAAAATTATTAATTTTCTATATGTGTTATTTAAATATTTCTTATTTTCGAAAACTAAAACCTATTTAAATTTCATATTGTATCTTTTTAAAAAGGAACATTTCTAAATTAATTAATTAATGTAGATTGAGTTTTTTTTTTATTTTTGTTTAATAGAACTCGGTTGTATTAAATAAATAAAAAAAAAAAAAAAAATTGGATGGTTTTGGTTGCTGGCGAAACGCCAGGCAATAGGCAACCCAATTTACACAAGAGACTTTTCCTTGCTCTGAAGTCGAACTCTTTACAATCAAATAAATCCTGGTTCTTTTAATAAGCGCAGACAAACCAGCTTCGTGGATATCATAAAAAAAAGAAGTCTGAGCGCGTTAAACAAATCAAGTTAATGAACGAAGTTAATTATTAAGGTCTGAGCTAGCTGGCTTGCGCTTTTCGCCTCCCCTTTTTCCTCTTCTTTCTTTCTACCGCGTCTACTTTCCTTTTTCTTCCAAACGTTTCAAGCCCCTCTCTGATTCTCTATTTGGATTCTCCAATTATAAACTTGTTTAAAAAAAAAAATAATAAAAATAAAAAAAAACAATAAAAACTTTTTATAAATTTTCATTATAGATTAAATAACAATAAAAATTATGATTATTGTTGAGAAATATAAAATATTTTTTTTCTAATTTTATTATATTAATTTTGAAAAAATTATGTCAGATATATTTTTTTCTAATTTTTAGATAACCTTTATTTCATTTTTGAGGTGATTTTAAGTTTATATTCGTATTTTGTCCCGGAAAACTGTAACCTAATTTTAAGGTTATGTATACCGATTTTAACTTCAAGGCACGAAGTATTATAAGGAACACTCACTCTATTGGCCGTTTCGGAAAATTCTGGTCACATGTTTTTCCGATTCAATTAATGAAGTGTCCCATAACGATACTAACAACCCTAGCGGGGAAATTAATTACTACAGGTCACGTGATTTTATCGTCTGCTATGCTTGAATGTTTGTTGTTTGTTTACACTGTATTCAGCAGCAGTATTTAGTACGGGCCGGTTTTGAAATTTAATTTTGATTAGTTTAAAGAAATTGTTCTGTAAATATTTGAATGGACAAACTATATTCATCGAATTTTCCATTATTTTCTGTGTACAGATGGTGATATAACCTAAAAATTGTAATAGAATTTTTATAAATAAATGAGATGTAAAAATGTAAATTATATATAAATAATTTTTTTATACACATGGAAATCTATAAATTTAAACAAAATTCATAAATTGCAGAATATACAC